CAAGCAGTGAAAGTTTCTGACTTGAAGTTCATGCAATGGCAGTTACTGGATGTAAAGTCAGAGGTGTTGAGTGACTGTCACTTGGGAACTCTTGAGAAGCTTCAAAATACCTTTGAAGAGTGAGTGTCATAATTTGTTTAAAATATTTTCCACGTAAAATGACTTTGGCTTCAGCATGTCTAGGAATGGACATGGGGGAGGTATGGATGGACGTTTGCTATTAACAACACTTAGATAAATTACTACTGAAGTAATCCCCTTGTTTGGGACATCTGGGGTAGCCGTAGGCCTACATCTGAAAAATGAGTTTGGTGTTCACATGTTCTGGGATGAGGCAGGGTGGGATGAGCAAGCGGCAGCAGGAGGAGATCAAGTGATGCTGGCCAGAAACATAAAGCCTTCACCAGTTCTCCAACAAATGATCAGTGGAAGGCTGAGGCAGGGCAAAGAGGCTGCTGTTAGTATGTTACCTTTCTGGGGAACTAGTGGGCCAATGTACAGATGACTGTACCACTTATATGAAGAATAAAATTCACATCTAGATTCTAATGGCATTTCTGCCTGTCTGTGGTAATGTCATTCCAGGCTTTTTTGGGGTTGGGGGAGGGGTGTGGGTCTAGCAGTTTTTAAAGTCTTTATTCTTACAGGTCTTTCTATCTCCACTATGTTGGGCCACAACAAATTTATATGAAGTTTCCACGGTGACTTCTGGAGCAGAGATACAATGTATTGTATCAAACTTCAAGCCATCTCCGTTTCTGTTAGCCAACCCTCACCAGGGCAGGTTTCCATATGCAAGGCGTGCCTTCTAAATTCTTGCCTTTAATGGGCCTTCTCTGATTGGTTGTCCTTCATAGATTCATGATAGGCCTTCATTCAGCCTGCATGTCCATCTTTCCTAATTGCTAAGGGCACTGGTCAATTATTCTTGCTACCACGGTATATACTATTTAACATAGTTGCACATAATGTTACTTTTCATCTTAGGACCTTGCAGGAAGGGTGGGTGGGCATAGCAGGAAGCACCTACTATCCCAGTCCTTAGGAAGCTTGATGTAAAGGACTGTTGTGTACCTAAGGCCAGCCTGGATTGCAATATAAGACTTTAAACCCAACCCAAACCAAACCCAAAAACCTAATAAAAAAAAGGACTATTGAATTAATGTCTATTAAAACGTGCACACACACACAATAGAAATATCACCTAAAATTATCTAGAGAACAACAAAAATGGATGGAGTTTTAGAAAGTGGAGTTTGACACTAATTTTGCTTTTCTTGTGGACAAGGTCTTAGGTTAACACAAAATTCTAGGCCTTTCTTTTTCTTGCAGTCTGCCTTTGGCCTTTTCACTTTTGGTTATTCAAGAGTTGGGAAGAAAAGGAAATTCTGGTCTGCTAATGAAGCTGTCCTGCACAGCCTTGAAGCAGATTGAATGCAAAGAGTAAAATCAGTTCTCAGGTCGTGGTCTGAGATTATCAATAGCCCCCACTAATCAGACCTTCCCTCAGGTGGCTGCATGTGCAACCCAGGAGCTTGTTTCACGAACACATTTAAACTCTGCAGGGTTAGTTAGCACCTTTGTCCCAAAGCACATGTCAAGCCATGTACCTCGATTTGGGAGTTGGAGAGCTGGTCTCTACAGTAACAGAAGAAATAGGTGGTGGTCTGTTTCTCCAGGGTAATTTCGCGGGCCTGATGAAAGAATTTAAGAGTTTATTTTCTGAAACTACTTCAAGGAACATTCCTTAAGTGAAAAAAATTCAATCAAGAATAATCTTACTTACATTTTAGGGGCAGCCTTTTTAATATGGAATTTCCTTCTGTGATATATTTAAATTCTAGGCCTTAGGCAACAATAGCAGAGAAAGGCCCCTGTACCCTTCATTAGATGCAAAGCAAACAGAACACGCTGGGGGCGGAGCGTTCCTTTACTTCCCTGCTGCTTTCCCTCTTCCCCCAGAGAAGTGTTAGGCTCGCCTCGCCATCTCAGAAATCACACGTTACTTCTTTTCCCCCTCTTTCCCTTCGCAGCCAACTCTCCTGTTGGCATCAACACATTTATCGCAACTTTAAAGACTTGGAATTATTTTGTCTGCCCCCGAACCTTGTAGGAAAGGGGGAACTGTAAAGTTCCCCAAAGCCTGTATGCAGTCGGTAGGCAGAAAACTGTCAATATCGAAATACAACACCAGCTTGATCCAGATTTGACGCGCTGACAAAGGCAGGGTTTGCTATTTAGGAGAGCTCAGCCATCTTGCCTGAGTACATTAAGCGGGCGATCCCGTCTTATTACCTAGGCACTTTACCAGGGATTTCTAAGTTGAGGTAGAACTCCCAGCGTCCCTTAGAACAGAGGCCTAACCCGCTGGAGCTGTCAATACAGATCCCATTTAGGATGCGGAACGAACGCGCAAGTTTCAGACTTTTATTATGCATTCTTCCAGTCTCGAAAAGGGCAAATTAAACTCCGTGCACGCTTAGAACTTTATTTCTTATTTTTCTTGACCTGTGGCATGTATCCAGCCCCTGGGCAGCAACGGTGTGAGACCAGGGCCCACTCTTTAATGGCTGAATGAACACATTTAACCAGCACATGGTGGATTCGCTGCTCTGAGAATTGCCTTAGAAAAAAAGTAAAGTGCACAAGCAGACAAAGAAATCTATAACCTTCTCAGTCTTTCCCCATTTGTTCGGGCCGTTCTTTGACCCAGCTCGGAAGCAACCGCGACAGGGATCGCGAAGAGATGCACCTGAACCAGTGTCTGCGGGCGGCCGCCTCGGCCGAGCCGCTCAGTCGCTGCTTTCCAGCGGCGAAGGCGCAGCAGCAGTAACAGGGAAGCCAGCGCGAGCCTCCCCGGCGGCGGCGGCGGCGGCACCGGCACCAGCGCAGTTTCCCCTCTCCCCAGCCCTGACTCTACGCGCACATGCGCACTGCGCCCGCAGCCCTGGACCATTTGTCAGGACTACTCGTGAGACGGAGAAAAAAAAAAAGAGAAAATTTGGGGGTAAGAAGCGGTTGATCGGATCTAATCTCTAATTAATCCGCAGCTCGGCCCGTGCCAGAGCCATTCATTGATTTTTTTTCTGGGTGAGGATGAAAGTTGAGAGAGCTAGAGAGGGAAGGAAGCGCACCCTCGTCTTGGGAAAGAGATCAGGGGAGGGGAAGGAGAGAAGGGGTTTCTCCCCCACTTCTCTGCGCCTCTGGGAAAGAGGAGAAAACTTAATCCCGGGGAAAAAAAGTGGGCAAGTGACTCGGAAGCGGCTGGAGGGGGAGTCTGTGGGCATCTCACTCTGAAGTAGTGAGTGCGAGTGCGAAAGAGGAACAAAAGAGAGAGAAAAGAGAAAGGAAAAAATGGGGGGAGGAGAGACTTGTATTTTTTCCTCCTTTTGCGCGCACACGGGGAAGGGTGTGGGGGGCCGTGCGGAAGGGAGCGGGCCGAGGCGGCCGCGTCGGGCCGTCGCCGGCGCGCAGGCGGCGGGATGCGTGTGGGCCCCCTTCCCCGCGCCGCCCCCCCCCCGAGCTTGTCACTTTGGTCGCTTTTTTGACACCGGGCGCGGGGTGGCGGCGGTGGGGGGAGCGCGGCGCCGCGGGGCTGCGTGTCCGGGGCGGCGCTGGGGGGGGGGGGGTTGGAGGGGCGAACGTGGAGGAGCCGCAGCCTCCCCCGGGGAGGGGGAGGCTCCGAACGCGGTCGGGCCCCGAGGCAGGGGGTCTCCGGCTTCGGGAGGGGACCGTGGGCACGATCGCGGTCGCGGCTCGGTGCGGCGGCGGCGGGAGGACGCGAGCCCCGGCGCGCCGCCCCTGCGGCCCCCTCCGCCCGTGTGGCCTTTGTGCCGGGCGCGCACCGGGAGAGCGAGCGAGCGAGCGAGCGAGCAGAGCGCGAGAAGTCCAAGTACGGGAGACCGAGGCAGTGGGAAAAGAGGCCGGGCCACTTTGCTTTCCCGGCTCGGCTGCGGAGAGAGAACGGACTGGTTGAATGTGGCATAGGCGCGTCTCGCCGGCGCGGCCGTGTGTGTGTGTGTGTGTCTGTGTGTACGTGTGTGTGTGTGTGTCGGGGTGTGTGTCTGTGTGTCGGCGTGTGTGTGTGTGTGTGAGAGAGGAGTGTGAGCGCGCGCCGAGAGGCCTCCGCGACTCGCACCGCGCACACGCACCCGCACACGCACGCACACCCGAGCCGCGGCAGGGCCGGCGGCCGAGAGTTTGCGTGTGCTCTCCCGCTCGCCACCTCCCCCGCTCGCCACCGCCGCCGACTGTGGGAGAATTTCCTAGAGATCGCCTCCAATTTCCGCCATTTTGGGAAAGTTGCACGGAAAAAAAAAAAAAAAGAAATAAAGCCTCCGCTTGATTTTTTTTTTCTCCCCCTGCCCGAGGCTGGAAAGTGCTTTTTTTAAGGGAGCGCGGCCGGCGGCGCGGGCCCGACATTGGCGTCCCCGCGGGGAGGAGGGCGCGGGGCCGGGCCGGGCACCCGCGCCGTCGCGGCGGCGTTCTTCTCTGTGCAGCGCCGCCGGTGCGGGCGTGCGAGGCGAGGCGGCGGCTGCGGCGGGGGCCGCGGTGCCTGCAACTTGTTTACGGTCGCCCGCGGCGGCCGAGGCCGGCGAGTCGGGTCCGCCCCGCGCCGCGTGCGTGCGCCCGCCGTTCTGCGCTCATGGGCTGCCGGCTGGTCCCCGCTCGCGTCCTGGGCCCGGCGGGGCCGGCCTCGCGCGGCGGCGGCGGCGGCAGCGGCGGCGGCGGGGCGGGGGGAAGTAGAGGCCGGCGGGGGTGGGGATCGGGAAGCGCAGGAGCGGAGGCATCCGCCGCGCGCCCCGCCAGCCGCCGACCGGAGGAGGAGGCAAAGTTGAGAGAGAGCGCCGGGCCGAGGGGCGCGCTGGCGGAGGGAAAACTTTAATCGCCTCCTGAGGGTGGAAAAAAAAAAAGACAAAAAGGGGGGTGTCTGGGATCCGAACCCCGCAATCGCGGCCCACCGCGCGACCGTGAGAGAAAGTTGACCGGTGGGGCGGCTTGTTCCGCGCCCGGCCCGCGAGAGGCAGAGGTGTCTGTCTGTCCGTCCGTGCTCCGTGATAGCCGGGGTGGGAGATCCAGCCGCACTGCCCGGTCGCGTGGGTCAGGGCTCTTGCCCCACCCTTCCACGGGGACACGAAGGTAAAAGTCGCTTTGGTTTCCCTTCTCTGTCCTCCTGCAGCCACCGCCCAGCTTCCTTTTCCTCCTCTTTCCCCGCTGATTTTTTTTCTTTTTTGGGGGGGGACCCGAAAAACGGAGTCTCTTTCCTTATGCAACTTCCTCGGGCGCCGCCGGTTGCACGGCCCTTCCCCCCGCCTTCTGCATCCTTCGGCCCGCTCCTTTGCCACCTCGGGGCCACCGCCAGAAACATGCATTTGAGATCACCCAGAGTGCCCAGGAGCAAAAATACATTTTTAAAAAAATGTTCTAAGTTAAGGGAAACTGATACGAGATTAAAAACCCGTGTGTGTGTTTGTGTGTGTGTGTGTTGAATTTTTATTTCGATTTTCGTAGATGGTTGGTTGTGATGTCTTTATTGGTGTAGGGAGCCAGGGAGGCTCTGTACTGACCACCTCGGTCGCGTGGATTTTTGCGCAAGTTTTTAGAAAAACACTGACTCGAGTAGAGAGCATTTCTCCGGAAAGTTTCAAGTGCAGCAAAATAGCGAGCCTGCAAAACTGGCCAAGGGGGGCCTCTAGTGGTTAAACGCACCTTTAAGTTGGCGAGGCAGAGAGCAAAGTTTGTCCTTTACTTGTAGCTGCGTAGTCCGTTTGGACGTGGAAGTAATTAGAGGACCTGAGTTAGCAGCCAGATGTGGGGAAGGATGCTGATCAGAAATAGAAAGCTTTGCAAATCAGAGAACGATGAAGTCGGAGTTTTCGGGCCTGTGATTTCCATCCTTCTTTGCTTGCATTAAAAAACAGATCCTTTTATTCTGAGATTTCAGATTGGCATACCCTAAATAAGGAAATTTGTTTTATAATTACTGTCGTCTGTAACTTTCACCGTTTTTTCCCTCTAAGAAGTCGTAGCAGGTAGCTTACTTTGGAATAAGACGTGTGCTTAAAACTTTGCAAAAAGTGAAAAGAAAAAAAAAAACCCTGAAATTTGCTTTTTATATGAGCCGATCGTTTTGTTCTCTGATACATGTGTAATTTCAAGCTAACAAGTTGTTCACTAACCTACATATATACTCGTAAAATAAATAGTACCTTCTCTTGCAAGAATGTAATTTTGATTTATGGAGTAAAAAGTTATTTCGGGGATACTTTGTATAACTTGTGATTTAAAACATTTATGTGGGCAAAAATATATGAGTTATATAACTATTTCCCAGTGTGTTTACTGTAAAGGACCTTGGATTTTAAAGGTAAAAGCCAGAGAAATGTAGTTTGTGTCAAAGCATCCTTGTAACTGCCCCCTGACTATCATACACACAAGAGAGACAAGGTCCACCTGAGTAGCCCAGGCTGGTTGGTGTTGAACTTACATCTTCCTGCCTCAGTGTCCTTAATACTTGGGTAACAGTACCCTTATTTGCTATGAGGAATTTTATTGTGTGCACTTAGACTATGGGGGTGGTGTGAATGATAAAAATTAATTGTGCCTCATGTGGAATTAGTTAATTTTATTTTAACATGCAGCGATGTTGTGTTTGAATTGTAGATTATAGATGTAAAGGCTTTATGAGAGTGTTTTGATTGTTTTTTTCTTTCTTCTTTTCCTCTTTTAAAATCAGTGCTAGATCCGTAAGTGAAGTCTTGGGGGTACACAGCAAGTTGTGAAGGCCACCAGACAGTTCTGCCTTTCACCACCACCTCAAGGTAAGAGCCACTTGTTGCAACAAACCGTTTTTATGTGCTAGCAATGCTGGACACGGCATTTGGAAATCAAGGAGAGTTGTGGGAACTGTTTTGAACATGTGAACAAGTGTGCTTGAAAAGTTAGGAAAAATGAAATTGTTCTAGTGTGTGTTTATGTTTTTGGTGTGGGTACGTGGGGAAGCCAGAGATCAATTTGAGTTATTCCGTGCCTTCCTGTATTGCTCCCCCACCCCCTTGTTTAAACCAGGTTGCTCTCTCTGATCCTGGCGTGCTGATTGGCTGGATTGGCCGGCCAATGAGCTACAGGGCTCCCTAGATTGCTATCCTCCCCTAAGTGCTCAAGTTACAGCTGAGGGTGCTTTTATGGGAGGGCACAGGATCTGAACTCATAGCTGCTTCTTCATGCTTTTGAGACTGTCACTTTATTGGCTGAGGCTTCTCCCCAGCCCCGTGTTTCTCGATATTTTTGAGGGGATGGGGTGGCTGGGCTGTTTTGAGGCAGAGTTCCTTTTTGTAGGCCTGAATATCTTGGAACCCTCTCTGTAGACCCGGCCAGCCTCCCACAAGAGATCTGCCCGCCTCTGTCTTCCAAGGGCTGGGATAAAAGGCCTGTGCCACCAGGGCCAGGCTGTTATTGGATTCTTAATTAGCATTTCAGCACCCCTTTTTCTACTGATTTGATAAAGTGAGAAACCAGAACAAAGCAGCTGTGAATGAACACATACTGTCCATAAACATACAATGGTAGGGAAGAGCTGGGAACTTTATAAATGTCTTTGCAGTTAATTAATTAACATGTAATTAACATTTAAATGTCTCCTATGGATTAAATCCAGGAGGGCCTTACTTCTGCCAGATACCATGTCTTAGGGATAGTGCATAGACTCATGAGTTTTTGAAGACATTCTATGGGGATATGGAGCTGTTGTCCAAGATCTTTTTGCTTTTCTTGGAGGGTGCTGGCTTAACCCTCCAAGTACTCCAACCCTAGTAAATAATCCAGGACCTATCTTTAGGACCAAAGTCTTTTGATGCAGGGGGAACCACAGCTGGGTTAGAATACCTAAGTAGTGCTTTCTGTTATTTATTCCGTTTCTACACCTTAATCTTCCTCTCTCCTTTTCCACTGGCTTTCCTGCCTCCTCTGTCTTAAGTACTAAAGAGTTTGCTAAATCCTCTTTGGCAGAAGCAAAAGGAAATGAAAGTTAACTTTCCTTTTAAATTTTATTTAAATTTTATTATTATTAACCCCCCACCTGTGTGTGTGTGTGTGTGTGTGTGTGTGTGTGTGTGTTGTGCGCACGAGCTTGAGTTCTTGCATGTGCATGTGTGAGTATGCATAATATTACATGTATGGGAGTCAGAGGACAGCCTTGGAGTTATTTCTTCTTTTCCATCTTTATATGGGTTCTGGGGACTGAACTCAGGTTGTCAGGCCTGAGTGACAGTCACCTTTAGCCGCTAAGACATCTCCCTGGCCCAAGCCTTCTTTTTACAAGCAGAGCTAATTATCTTCTGCAGGTCAGGTGTGGATTACAAGTGAAACGGAATAATGACCAGAATACAAGTGATTGTAAACAGTAGTTTATTGTCATTTTCTGTTTGCGGATTGACTTAAGTAGTGCAGTTAGTAGACTTCGTAGATTGGGTTCTTGTACACGTGTGGGTGATCCTGCACAGACAGTGGACAAGAACAGCTATGAGACCACTCAAACAAGAGCACAATTCCAGGGAGAGGAGTACCCCAATTTCCTGGGGTAGTCAGTGTAGTGTGCTGAATTGAAGACAGTGCTTTCTAGCCTTCATCTGAGGAGCCACTGTGGCTGTTGGTAGCAAGCTAGAATGGGGACCAGAAAACTGGACTCTGCCATCTAATATATGGTCTTGTAGGAGTTACTGGGCCTCCTTTAGCCTAGATTTTCCCCTCTGGAAAAGGGAATGTCAACATTGGTCCTTTTTTTGTAAATGAAGTTTCAAATAAAATGCAAGTGTGTGGCGGTCATTTTATCCTGTCACTGTCACCAGTTTGTGAAGAACAAGAGTCAGATTGTATAGGGTACAGTCTGGTGATTCAGTCCCTGGCTTTATTGCGTATACACTTGTCAAAAGTTTCTAGCTGTGTCTTTCTTTTACTCTTTCTTTCTTTCTCTCTCTCTCTCTCTCTCTCTCTCTCTCTCTCTCTCTCTCTCTCTCTCTCTCTCTTTCTTTCTCTTTCCTTTCCTTTCCTTTCCTTTCCTTTCCTTTCCTTTCCTTTCCTTTCCTTTCTGTTTTGCTTTTTGTATTTTGAGGCCGTATCTGTAGCCCTGACACTCTCTATGCAGACCAGACTGACCTGGAACTCACAGAGATCCTCCCACATTTGACTTAGGAGTGTTAGGATTTAAGTCCTGTGGCATCATGCCAGGCCTTGTCTGTATTTTCTTTTTATTTAAATTCCGCTTTATATTTATTTATGTCGTGAACGCCTTACATCCCACCGATCAGAAGGCCAAAGAAGCAGGTAGATATCTGTGAGTTTGAGGACAGTCTGCTATACAGAGCTAGTTCCAGGACAGTCAGGGATACACAGAGAAGCCCCGTGTCAAAAAACCCAGACAAACCAAAAAAGATTTATTCATTCATTACTTTATAAGTGTGTGTGCTTGCCTGCATGTATGTCTGTGTACCACGTTTGTGCTTGGTGACCTCCAAAGTCAGAAGAAGGTGATGGATCCCCTAGGACCGAAGTGGGTGCTGGGAATCCAACTCAGGTCCTCTGCAAGAGCAACAGGTGCTCCTAACCACTGAGCCAACTCTCCAGCTCAGTTGTCTTTAGTTTCTTAGGGGAAAAAAAATATTGGTTCTGAATGGAGGAACAATGCTCCATCATGTTGCTGGTTACAAAGTCCCAAATGAATAAGGGCTGAATGAAGGAAATGCTTCAAATAATGCCTGCTGATGGAAATGGTAGGGTGAAGGAACTATGGGTTGTATGAGGGGAATTTGTTTACTGTAATTAACATTTTGGTGGTGTAGCCTGGAAAAGAGGTTGAGAAAATGGCTAACTGGGGAGGTAGGAATGGGAGTCACTTGGGATGACAGAAATTGATTCCTAAGAATAACTGGTTTTAAGGAAAAGTTCAAATAAGACTCTCCCCAGCTGTTTTTCAGACATCCTTATTGTTGTATTGCTCATTACAGCTAACTCTCTAAAATCTAGATAAAAAAGAGAGGGAGAAATACTATGTTGTTATTTTCATCCTAATTATACTGAACCTGACAAAGCAAATCCTGACATGTTCTGGTTTTATTAGTTTTATTCCATCTCCTTTTTTATAGATTATCCAATCAATATCCTGAGGGTCTAAACACTCAGTAGTGAAGGAGAGGAGATGTACTTGTCCATTTAATTAATCCTGGAGTAATGGTAGTTATTGAGTAAACTCTGTGCTTTTTGTTCTTTTCTAATTTTATGCCTATTGGCATTTTGCCTGCATGCATGTCTGTGTACCACTTGTGCCTAGGGAGATCAGCATACATCTTAGAATCCCCTGGAACTGGAGTTACAGATGCTTGTGAGCCACCATGTGAGTGCTGGGAATAGAACCTGGGTCCTCTGGAAGAGCAGCCAGGGCTTTTAACCACTGAACCATCTCTCCAGTCCATGGTATTTTATTTTTAGGAATCAAAAGATGTCATAGGTAAGATAACCATGATTTATGGTAGATAGATCAGGATAGGGACAGTATAAGAGAAATAACCTTGTATGGTGTGTGACAGTGGAACCCATGGGTTCCCATGCACAGATAGATTATGGAGTCTTCCCCCAAGCAGTGTTTTTGGTTTCTTAACTAGTTGTTACTGTGTTTTAACAGTGTTGAAATCTGAAAGGCTAGGTATTGTTCCGGAGCTCCCAGGATGAGCTCCCAGGATCTTTAGCCCAGGAGGAGAGATAACAGAGAGCTCTGCCAATTGTAACAACTGTTGAAGTCTGTTCTAGTGTATATATAGTAATAGTGTAACAAGTGCACATTGTGCCATAGAAGAGAACACATGCTCTAGGTGTTGGAGAAGCCAGTGAGTCAGGAAACATGACCTTGGGTGCTGACTGATGATGTTGAATGTTATACATACATGCATACATACGTATATATCCCGTTTTTATCAGTCTCCAGAAATGAGTAAGCCACTTTCTAACTAGGGCTGAAGAACATCTTAGCTGTGCTTCTAGTAAAAATGATGGATTTTCTTTGACCCGTGTGTTCACAAGGGGTACTGATGAAGATTTGCTCTACCACTGTTCCTGTTTACTACTGTTGGATGGACTCATATCTCCTCAGGATTTGGGGATTATTAAAATATAGATAAAGATACTGTATTTAAAATCATTGTGTGTTCACATGTGTACAGATTTATATATGATGTCTTGACATTGAAGGGACCTATAGAAGTGGTATTTTTTGTATAGTCTTTAATGTCTGTCTGTCTGTCTGCCTGTCTGTCTGTCTGTCTATCTCTATATTTTGTAAAGTCTTCAATTTCTAGTGGAGTGATTCTCAGGGGTTGTCTTTTTACAGTTTTGAAGATCTCAGTATTATGTGTGGATATGAGTCAGTGATTGTGGCCGTCACGCAGCAGGTAGCCGAAAGGCAGTACCAGGAGTAGATAGCCCTGATGTAGAGTTGAATTTGACATGGGGTTGAGGAAACCCCATTTAGAGAACAGGTAGTTTGGAAGAAGGAAAAGAATGTGTCAAAGAAACTTGGCTGGAGTTGAGTGGTCTTGGAGAGAGAAGTAGATTTGGGGGCCATGGAGATGAATCCATGGGTAAAGGCACCTGTTGCTGAATGAGGTGGCCCCTGAATTTGATCCAATCAAGGAAGAGAACTGACGAAGGCTAACCTCTGATCTCCATAGGAGTGCCATGGCATGTGTGCTTCTAGGTGAGTGAAAAGACATGTGCATGCATTCATGCACACATGCACACACACTGTGAGAGAGAAATACCTGCAATTAAATGA